GCAGCTAGGCATTGTGTAGCTACACAACAGTCTACAGCGTTGGTTTCTTCGAGCTCATCCCGAGGTAAAAGTGTAAGTTTTGATAGGTATGCAATGATAGCTGAGCTAACTGATGGATCTGGACTTGGATCGTCATCATTGGAGGTTTCTGAAATAGATGAATATTTATCTGCTTCTTTAGTTAAATGTCAAGGAAATGCTTTAGATCTTTTGCAATGGTGAAAAGTATATGGATCAGTTTCATATCCTATATTTTCCACCATGGTTTGTGACTTACTAACAGTACATGTTTCGACGGTAGCTTCGGAATCCGCCTTCAGCACAGCGGGATGTTTGATCGACGACCACAGGACATGCTTAGATCCGTATACTGTACAAGCGGTGATGTGCTTACAAGATTGGTAGAGTTACGAGAAGCGAACGCAAGGCATCGATCGGATGGCTGGAATTGAAGATAAATTTAAAGAATTGGGACTAGCAGATAGATATAAAGAATAAATAATATTAATCAAATTGTAATTTTTATATCTTAGCTTAAAATTTGTAAAGAATTTTTTTGGAAATAGTTGCAAATGATAGTGATATAGGTGAGTAGGTGCCAACCTAGTTGGGATGTACTTATCTATTGTGATGCGATGAATTTCAAAATAAATTTATACTTATAATTTGTAAATAATTTATTAATTATTAATAAAGAATTTGTTTTTATTATTTTTTATTTGTAATTTATGTCATTTTAAGTGATTAATAAAATTATTGTTTTTTATTAATTTTTCTTGTCTTTTTTGTATAATTTAAATTTTAAATAAAATTAAAAAAAATAAAAGAAACCGGGCCCGACCGGCCCGGATGGACAGGCCTAACAACAAGTAGTTATTTCTTTTAATTATGCTTCCGCTACATCACTTTTCATATCTAACTGTTTGGTAAATTACCAATAAGCTCGCTTATAAATCCCATTTAAAAATATTGAGATTCTCCAACTTTTAAAAAACTAGCTTATAAGCTCATATACATAAGCTATGTTTGACCAAGTAAATGACTATTCTACCCATATAACTTTAATAATAATTTTATCATAGAAGTCAAAATCCAACATGACTTATAAGCTTCTAAAAATAAATCCTCCTAAACACAGTCCTATTTGTTTAATAACTTGTCTTAAGTGATTCTAATGATTTAAAGCATGGCTGGCAACTTGTTCATTTTGCATGATTGGTAGAGTAGATTATTTTTTTATTACAACACATCAAAGACTAATCCACATGTTTGACCGAGTGAAAGACAAAAATGCCCTTACTTCCTACATTTTGTACTCCCCACTTCTATCTCCTCTCACTTAAGAATTAATTGTATATATATATATATAGTATATTATATATTATATATATATATAATATATTTATATATATATATAATATATTATATATAATTATATATATAATATATGAACTTGTACAAGCATAAGTTTTGTACTTGAAGTGAGGTGTTTCTTCTCCTCCACACGCTCTACGCCCATGTGAGTGTAGTCCCTCATTTGAATGACTGGATGAGAATGAGTTATCTCACATCAGTAAAAATTTGTGTTTGGTACTAAGTTCGCTTCATAATTCATACACCTCATGCTATCTTTGAGATTTGTGTCTTCATTTGTATCACATGCTAATAAAATTTAATGCAAAAAACAGTGGATAAAAAATTAGTTTGACAAAGTCTCTTATATCCATATTTTAGGAACTTTACTATATATATATATATATTATATAATATATATATAATATATATATAATATATATAATATATATATATATAGAGAGAGAGAGAGAGAGAGAGAGAGCAGTTTTCTGATGCGAATAATAGTTCGCACAGCAACAGTGCGAAAATAGCACAGCACCGTTGGATTTGATTGAATAACAGTGACCATTGGATCTCTATTTTTAATCCCCAATTCCCAAGTTACTGTACCCTCACCCTCTCTCTTCCTCGTACCCTCCAGAACCCATCTCTCTCCAGAACCCAATCCCTCTCTAGAACCCAATCTCTCGCCGTCGAGCTCCTCTCCGCCTTCAGCCTTCATCGGGGATCTCAACGTCGAGCTCGACAAACCCTCGTCCTCCGCGTTCAACCTCGTCCTCCGCCTTCAGCCGCCGACCGAAGGATCCTCCTCCGCCTTCAACCTCCTTCAGCCACCGACGGACAACGGCCCCTCCTCCTTCAACCTCCTTCAGCCGCCGACCAACAACGGCCCCTCCTCCTTCAACCTCCTTCAGCCGTCGATCTCGCCTTCAACCCCCTACAGCCGAAGATCTCGCCATCGAGCTCCTCTCTCTCTCATCTCCTCTTTGCTCGACTGAGAAACTCTCAGGTTCGACCTCTTTCCGTTTTCCTCTTTTTTTAAGGTTTTCGTGCCTTCAATTAATTGTAGAGATCTTCGACATCTACCTGTCATGGCCTTAACTGCCCTTGTCTTGATCAGAAATTAGCACGCTATACACTAGAAAGTTGACGAGAAATTGGCAGTCGAAGTTTGAGAATTTGATTTCAGTTATGGGCATTCCTTACAATTCTCGTCTCAGTGATTTCAGATACTAATTCTTTTTTTTTTTTTTTTTTTGCGTGTGTGCGTGTGTTTATGTGTGTCTGTGTGTTTTAGTTGTATGTATGTTTCCTGTTGTAGTCTGTTAGGTGTGAGAAATTTGTGATGGGGTACATGAAAAAGAAGATTTTGTAAGAAATAGGCAGTGACAAAAATTGTTTTTATATGATGGTGTCGATTTGCAAACTTACAAGAATTTTCTTATTAAATGTAATTATTTGCACCCATTACATAAATCAAATGGGTTGGAACTAAAAACATTCTGACTCCAGATACTTATAAAACTGATGTGGAATTGTATTTTGGAACTTAAAAGCAAATGACATTTGATTTATGCATTTAGCCTACCCTCGGTCATTTTGAGCCCTCAACAACATAAAGAAGCAGAATCAGCTTGTAGCAGAAGTAGCAACTTGTTACACAAAAAGCAGTATGTCCCTCTGCTCTTTTTTCTCCTTTTCGCTTATTTCAAGGCTCTGAACTACAATTTCTAGAAGTCTTCTTTTTGTTTGATCATTAAGTAATGTAGATTCCCAATATTAGCATTTTCATGTTCAGTTTATTAGGTTCAACCAATATCAACATTTGGGCTTGCTCCAAAAATTCAATGGAAATTAGTATAGATGGGCAAAATATTTGGGCTTGCACTTGTAACTGGAGCTGGTATAACTTTACATTTTTGGTGATTTTTGTTGAGATTGTCATCTTCCAGATCATTGTCATGGTAATTGAAAAAATTAAATTATGTCAGATCCTTGTCATGTATTTGTTTTAATTAGCTTTGTGATGGCGGTAGTGTTGATTGAGTATCTGTTTATGCTTTGATCTTTTTAACTCTCTGTATCTGTAGTTGTGGATCATGGAGTCATCTTCAAGCACTCGTCATGGATTGATGTGCCATTATGGAAGGAGGGCTATACTCTCCACATCTGGAACTAAGACGAACCCTGGTCGATTGTTTTTAGGATGTGCTAATTGGAAAGTGAGGAATTGTGGCTTCTTCAAATGGGTGTCTGATGAAGAGGAGTTTGAAGGTTCAAAGGCAGGGCTTGTTCAGACGAAGCAGTCGAGCGTGATGCCGCAAGTTTCAAGTGTCGTGTCAATTGGAGAAGTGCGGGAAAAGAGAAAGATTGAAATTGATATTATGGATTTGTTGAAGCTTGTTGTATTTGTTCTTTTATTTGGTATTTTTCTTGGATTTGTATTTGGTATTTTTATTGGATTTGTGCTAAGTAGGGTGTTTCTTGGATTTGTATTTGGTATTTTTATTGGATTTGTGCTAAGTAGGGTGAACTAATGTATTATTGGATGAGTAAGATTTGTTTTTGAGTAATAGGTTTCTTATTGCATGTTAAGTTATTACTGGAGATTACTGGGGATTGTAAAACTGGCTTAGCTGCTCCTATAGATTTGTATTTTCACACTTGGTTCACTGGCCACTATGATCCCTAGTCTCTAGGTTTGTATGTTGCTATATTAGTTGGCTACACAAGTTGTCGCTACAACCCGATTATTGTTGCTCTTGCCACAAAACTGATCGAGAAGGTGATTAATTTATCCTGTAGCTCAATGTTGTATACTCTTGATGGAGGATTAGCTTCTTGTGCCGAATTCCAACGTTCGGTTAGAGTTTTGTATATATTTGCAGAGAAGGCAGTGGAACTCCGTACTTTGTTACAAATCTTTCAAAATCTTAGTAATTACCAACGAAAGCTGTACACATTTATTGGCCAAAACTCATTCCAACTTCATGGCCAAATCACTGCAAATCTGAAAAGCTGAACTGCTGAAACAAAGTTACTACAAAAAAAAGTTTACATTTGTAGCTACATAAGAATGAACATGTAGAAATCCTTCCGCGTCATCTATTGACGTAAAACACCTCAAAGTTACAACATATTCACTCTAAGGCAGCGCAATTTACATACAGTAAAAACTTCCCGTCAAACAATTTTCGTCGATCAAACAAAATAAACTCTATAAATTAAATTGTGCTCTGCCATCCTAACGGTGACTGAAGCCAAGTGTTATAAAACCAGAAAATTTATATACATCGATGGATAAAGATAGTGTACAAAAGCAACAAGAAACCCATTGAGGCAACTATATTCCGCATCTCTATTCACGACTGCATCATACATTCTCCTTGATCTTTAATCAGATGGTGGCATCAAATAATAGTCATGAGCACAAATAATATCCACAACTAGACCTGTTCAATATCCAGTGACACGCCAAGCACAAATCACTGAGACAACCGACATATGATGTTACAAATGATTAAAGATACAAAAACACAAATACATATTAGTTCACTATCTGCATGGCCGACATATTACCCATTTGCTCAATCACACCTCAAAAACACAGATACATAACGAAGATCACGAATTCTCACCAATTTCATAAATTTGCTCTGCCAACCTTGATCAAACTTCACTCAATAGTGAGAACTTCATCTGTATTAAAAAAATTTAAAAAACAAAGTGCTTCATCACATTAAAAAAATCACATTATAGAAAAAAATTGCAATGTACAAGTTATTCCGTATGTATTAACCATTACCTTCCTCACAGGAATCTTCTAAATCATCAGTGGCTTCATCAATATTATCTTGTTCCATTGAATCACTAAAAAAAATTGATGATAGCAAAACATATTAAAGATCATTGCACAAAATTTAAAAAAGTTTAAAAAAATAATAGCATTAGTAGTACTAAAACAAATGATACACTACCTTGACAACTTTAGAGGGCAATTTCTGCTATCATGATTTTGTCCTCTCTTTCCACACAATTTGCATTTCCTAGGCCGACATTTGCGGATCTCTCTCGATGGCTTTAACCTCTTCCCCTTAGGCCTTCCTTTTGTTCTTGCTTGACTTGGTTCATGAACCATATCTTGATAACACTCCGCATTCATATATTGTCCTTCCACATCTTGTCCAATTTCTTCATCATTGATGAGTTTCAAACGTTGCACCTTATTAATAGCATCCATCATCATTGCATGCATTAATTCATATGCATCATTAGAAGATAGCCCCTCTTCAACCATTTCATTGGCTAAGCAATTTAGTTCACTAAAACGAGAAGCAAAATTAATTGTTGCATTATCTCCAATAATATTACCATCTCTAAGAACAACCCTTTTTCTAACATTTCGGCACCATCTTCTTAGAATATATTGCTCCGGTAACTCACTATGATTGGTAATTTTAAGATATGCCAAGATATGTTGGCATGGAATGCCCTTGAATTCAAACATGAGACACGAACAACGGACCATTTTAGTTGTTTTGCAATATATAATATGTCTCAATCTTTCATCATGACCACAAAAATTCAATTGGAAAGTACTTTCTCTTTCATTTTCTTTTACCAGCTCAATGTTATACATTAAGCTAGGTTGAAGCTCGTCTTGAAAAATATAAAAGATTCTTTTCATGTAGATTTGGGCCATTTGTTTTTCCATTGACCACAAAGTCTTCAATTTTGGTTTTTTCTCCACTGTGCAATGATCTTCTTTAAGCTCCCCCTCTCTTTGTCTCGCCAAGACCCTCTGAAAGATGATCATGAAATCATGAAGTGAATTTTTCCTTGATACATGCATTTTTAGCAATGCATTCATCCCTTCACTTCTTTGACTGCTAGACATTCCAGCCCAAAAGTATTGTTTATGATAAACGGGAGCCCATTTTTCACGAATTTCATAGATATCTTTTAGCCAATCATGCGTTTCCAATCCATTTTTCTTAAGAATTGAAACCCAATTCTCTTCAAAAGAGCTAGCAGTCTCGGAGTCCCAAATATTTTCTTTGAAAGATTTCATAAATTCCATATTATAAGCCCATTTACCCAACTTCTCAGAAACTTTATCCAAGATATGCCAAATGCAAAACATGTGCCGAATTTCTGGAAAAACTGTTCCAATTGCCTTGCATATGCCAAGACATTGATCTGTAATCATGCCCAAAGGAGGATGACCCATTGCTTCAATCCATTTGTTAAACAACCATACAAAAGACTTCGCCTCTTCATTTGGGATCAAGCCACATCCTAAAAAAACACTTTGCCAATGGTGATTTATGCCTACAAACGGCACAAATACCAAGCCATATTGATTTGTGTTATGCGTGGCATCGAAGGAGACAACATCGCCAAAGTATTGATAATTCATTCTAGCAATACCATCCACCCAAAAACAATGAGTTAAGCGCTTCTCTTCATCAACTTCATAAACATAATAAAATGAAGGATTCTTCTCTTGTTCCGACTTGAAATGATCCAACATCATTTGTGCATCATGACCGCGCCTCTCCTCTCTCAAATCTCTTTCATAATTTCTCACATCGGTCTCAATGCATCCAATTCTATGAAAACCTCCGCTAGAGTTTTCAAAGAAGGCCATTTGCTTGTTTGTTGGAATGTTCACCTCTCCAAACTGCTTTATCAATGTCTTTTTTGCACTTGTTACCTCACGGTTTCCCCTTAGAAAATGTGTTCTACTCGGTGAAGTAATTGTATGATTATGTTCTTCCACGAACTTGTGGACACTCCATATGCCAATGTTTTTGTCTAATTTCAAGCGAATCAAGGCCTTACAATTTGTTCTAATTGTACCACATCGTCGAATTTCCATCGATTTGCTCTTTAACACTCCTTCTTTCGAACAAACATAACTTTTGAAAATTAACTCTCTATCCTTCCCATAATTTGTTGCGCTATTACGAATATCAAAACCTCCAGCCTTTCCGTAATTTCTATAGAATTTTTCAGCGTCCTCTAATTTGCCGAAAGTCATTCCTATTTTTGGTTTTAAGTGCTCATCAACAATTGGCACAATTAAGTTATCTAGCTGAGAGATTTGTTCTTCAACAATATGGGAGCAACCCTCTTCAATTTCCATTGGATCAAACATCAAGAATAATATTTACCTACAAAAATAAACATCAAGAACAAACATCAAGAACAAACCATCAAAGACCACTGTGCACAAAAATAAACAAATGAATCCACATGAGACAAGAACAAACATGCTTATATATATATTTGACAGTAAACAGTAAACACCCGCAAATAAGAATGAGCTTGTTCAATTGGACAAAATTGGACAGAAAAGAAATCGGGCTCCAATTCTGCCAGCAATAAGAATGAGCTTGTTGAGCTTGTTCAATTGGACAAAATTGGACAGAAAAGAAATCGATGAGTTGAATGGATTATTCAATTTGACAAAATTTGAATTACAGAACACAACTAATCAAACAGCTAATTGAGGTCCAACCTGGAGCTTGTTCAGTGCCGAAAACTTCTCAGTGGAGCAAAGAGGAGAGGAGGGGTTGGGGAGCTCGACGGCGAGATCACGGGGGTGAAGACCGGCGGCGACGGGGCTCGCGGGCTTGGCTCCGACGGAGGCGAAGACCGGCGGCGAC